TATGACACATTGGAGCATTTTAGTATAAGTTGCATGTAAATACTTTGATTTAAAAACCAATTTTGGAAATGGAACAAAATGTAGATGCTAAAGTTAGATGCTTTATCATAAGAACCCATGTTAAACTAAACCTTGATGGCTGCTCGACAACTTTTGTTGTTGTCGATGTATACATATCTCAAAGTGAATGGGGTTTGTTCACGATAATATAGAGTTTGATGCTTTTAAAGAATAAAAACATTTTTTTAACATTATGTATTATGTATATTTAATGAATCCGGGTTATTATGCAAAATGAATGTGATACAAGCCAGGTCGGTCCAAAGTTTAGGAGAATCCAGAGCAAAAAAAAAAATTTGGGCCCAAATCTTCTATATATTAAAGGAGAAGCATTTTGGGCTAGTTTTGACGATGTGTCATTTCCACAATTTTTCTCATCTTTTAAATCTTCTATCCACATTACCAAACACATTTATTTCCAAATCTACTTATTTTGATTACTTTTATTCTAATTGCCAAACACATATAAATAGTCCTAACTTGTCAAAAATAATTATTTCAAAAATTCAAATAGTAAATCATATATATCATTAAATGTGAACAAAAAATTAACATATATTCCAAACAATTACTATTTTAAAAATAAAATACCAAAATAAATGTTATTTTCTTTTGAAAATATGTGAGCATGTAAAATATTTTTTTCACATACATATTTTAAGATATAATTAGACACATTTTAGGACCAAAACAAGAAAGAAAGTTAGACACATTAAAGACAATGGGGTAGTTGCAAAAATGACACTTTTGGTGTGTACATTTGCAAAAATGTCATTTAGAGGTGTCCATTTGCAAAAATGCTACTAATTATGGATTTTTAAACCCTAATTCTTAAAATTATAAACCCTAAAAATGTTTTGACCCCTAAAACCACTTAAGCCCTCAAAACTAAATCATAATACAACATAGTTAATCCAAACATAAATGATATAATGATTTTTTTTAAGTGGCATTTTTTGCAAAATTTACGAAAAGTAATTTTTTAAAAAGTGGCATTTGAAAAGTGACATTTTTTTAAATTTCTCATAATACATTATTATTATTTTCTTCTAAAAATTGGTGTGGGCAACTAAAACATTATAATAGATCTTAAAAATAAATCTAACAT